TCTTGAAGTATTCCATTAGATTTGTCAAGATTGTCAATAAATGACTTTCATTTCATAAATCCACGCTGACTCTGTGTAATCCTGTCACTGTTTTCCAAGTGCTCTGCTATCATTTTTTATAATGGTCTGTAGCATTTTCCCTACTGCCAATGGTTGGCCAACTGGTCTATAATTTCTTGCTACCTCCTTTTTATTTAAAAACATGGATTATATTAACTATCCTCCAATCTGTAGGATTTCAAAAGTCACACTCCCGTATATAACCCTCACTCCATTACAATGCATCCAAATCCTTACCTGTTCACAGTGATGCTGTCACTTCAGAAGTGTGTCTAAAGTTGCAGATTTCTGCAATGCAGTTGTTGGACCACAGATTTACATGCCACGTTGCGATACCATAATACTTTGAGAATCTAATAGCCCCTTCCTGGATCCTTCGTAGAACTGATTATAGATTTTCCTGTCTTCAAAGAAATTGCAGGATTTTAACCAAACTGTTCTGGTCTGGAATGTTTAAATTAAACTGCTTACACTGGAAAGCATACAACATAGACTAACTTGGATGATGCCAGTGACGTGAAGCAATAATAGTGATAAAATAATGGAGTGTTTGAATTGGAGCAAGAAATATTAAGGAGAGAGAAGCTAGGCAGTTTTAAATTTGGAATGAATCACTTCTTGGGGTGAATTGGAGAATGCTATCTCTTCCGATTATGAAGTCAGAAATGAAAGTTTATCCCTGAGGGAGGATGGGTGAATTTTATGCTGAAAGCTAGAGCGCAAATATTTTCAGTGAAAATTGGTTTTACTGTTTGAACTGGGAGAAGATGTGAAGAGGGTCATGAACATTGTGACTAGATTTTGGTGTACTCTAGCTAGGAACTGGCACAAGCAGCATGGACTGAATTGGATCCACCTCTGCTGTGTATTTCTATCACTCTTATAAAAATAGCATCACTAAAATATATCAGATTGTGATGAGGGAAAGGAGAAGTTGAAAAGAAGACCGAGGTTGTTGATTATTTCTCATCTCTCAAAATGCTGTTCCTCAAGTCCATGATACCTTGTGAGAATTCTCAGCTTATTACATGAATGCATTGACCCAAGACCCTGTTCATGCTTCTGCTCCCTTCAGTTCTCTCAACATATTCACTTGGCACTGACATAACATCATTCCATCATTATATGTAGTCATCATTACACCTCTTGCTGATGTCTCATTATACCCTTTAAACAGAAATTATAAAACTATTTGCACTTCTATAATTATGAATAGATATTCCAGTTATGAATGGATTTGGGTTTTGTTAAAAGCTGCAAACTGGAAAAGCTATTGAAACATATAAGACTCTTACGGGCCTACCCTATTCAGCCCAGGTTAATCATGTTGAGACTCTTCTCGTTGGAATTTAGAAGAATGAGACATGATTTCATTGAGACATATTGCATTCTTTAGAGGCTTGACAGCGAAAGTATTGAGATGATGTTCCCCCTCATGGGAGACTCTACGAGCAGAGACTGTAGCTCAGAATTAAAGGATTCCAAATTAAGACTGAGAAGAAGAGGAATTTTTTTCTCCAAGAGTTGATAGTCTTTGGAGCTCCTTGCTATAGAGAGCTGTGGGGACAAAGTTTTTATGTTGATTTAAGGCTGAGATAGATTCTTGATCAGTAGGGCAATCAAGGTGTGGGAAAGGGCAAGAAAGTGGACATGAAGAGTATCAGATCAGCCCTGTGCACTCCATTGAAAACATTCTTCCATGTGCAAAACCTCCTGTTGACCATTAGCACTTATTTCTTGCCACTGAATCAATTTAATATCCAATTTGATTTATTAGCAAAGATTGACTACCTTGAAACTTCACTCGCTGGACAAAAAGAGTGTGAATGGGTTGAAAAGAGTCCTTTTTAGTTTTGCCATACAGATGGAAAATTTGGATCAAGCAGCACAGTTTTTGGCACATATTCATGGATTAGAGAGCACAATTTAGAGTGTGTGTTACTCAATATATGTGCAGATATTTAGTGAAAGATTCATAGAATTGGAGATTAGGTTGCTAATGGTGGCTACGTAAGATAAAGCCATTGTTTGCTTTTTTGTGTAGAAAAAGAGTCTTATGAATTCCTGTTAGTACATAGCAGTAATAGCGTACAATATGTAGATAGATTTCACTTCCGAAATCATGACAGTTCTAATTTCCGCACTTTCTTTGCACTTAACATGTGTAAACCCCTAAAACAAAGATTGTATTTAGTCTTGCACTACAATGTACAACTTGAGGTCATTCAAAGTTCTGTTGATTATCTTAACTCTCAACAATCCTATTCATCCTTTACATTGTGCTTGCTGATTTATCTTGGCTTTTCATGTAGCATCACAGTGACCTTAAAGGTCTCATGCCTTACTTTTATACTTTTCTATGACATTGCCCTATCCATCCCTGTAACTTTCTACGTACTTGCTCTAAATTTAGTCCCACGACTTTGCCTGCTTATGCAAGTACTCACAGCACTGTTTTGAAGATCAAGAGAATATTCCTCAAAGTTCTGACCAATATATATCTCTCGACCAACATCACCCAGATTTTTTGATCATTAACACATTACAGTTTGTGGGAACTTCTGTGCACAGATTGACTGCTACACTTCCCACCTTGGAACAGTATTTCACTGGCTGTAACATAGAAACATAGAGAATAGGAGCATTAGCCATTCAGTCCTTCAATCGTGCTCTGCCATTCAATGTGATCATGGCTATCAGCTGACTCAGTGTCCTATTCCAGTTTTCTTTGCATACCCTATGAGTTATTAGCTCTTAGATCTGTATCAAACACATCCTTGAAAATATTCAATGTTTTGGCCTCAACATCCTTATGTGACAAAGAATTTCAGAGGATCACCCTTGGGTGAAGACATTTCTCCTCATCTCAGTATTAAATGGCCAACCCTATACCTTTAGACTGTAACCCCTGGTTCTGGACTCACTGGTCATTGAGAACATCCTTCCTGTGTTTACCCTGTCTAGTTCTGATTGAAATTTATAGGTTTTTGACGTGCCCTCTCATTCTTCTGAACCCTGGTAAGTATAGACTGGATCGATTAGGACTATCTTCGAGCATCAGCCTTGCCATCCCAGGAATCAATCTGGCAACCTTTTGTTGCATTCCCTCCGTAGACAAAACATTGTACCTCAGATGAAGAGGCCAAAACCCCACACAGTACTCCAGTTATGGTCTCCCTAAGGTTCTGTACATTTGAAACAAGACATTCCTGCTCCATAATCGAATCTTCCCACTATGAAAGCCAGCTGCACCTACATGTTTACTTTCAGCAACTGTTGCTGTCTTTCCCAATTTATCACCATTTAGATAATATTTATCCTATGTTTATACTACCAAAGTGGATGGCTCACATTTATCCACATTATACTTCATCTGCCATGCATTTGACCTCTCACTCAGCTTACCCTAAACACTGATGATTCTCCTCACACATTACCCTCCCACCCAACTTTGTATCATTTCATCTAAATGATTAATATATTGTGAATAGCTGGGGTCCAAGCACTGATCCTTGCTGTACCACATTAGTCACAAACTGCCACTCGGAAAATAACTCCTCATTTACTCCGACTCTTTGTTTCTTGTCTACCAACCAGGTCTCTGTCCGTGTCATTATACTTCCTCCAATCCTATGCATTTAAGGTTTACAGTCACTGAAAGAGGAGTTGGGTCTTCTCCTCAGCGTATTTTGCATGAAATTCTGTACTTGCAACTTTCTTTTAGCTATTTCCTTTGGCATCTCGTGGAAAGGCATAATTATAACAGAATATTGCTCAGCTTGCATTTTTAGCTCAAGTGTTTTAACATTCTTATTGTCTCGTTAGCTGTCTTATTGCCTATGTACCCGTTTGTCATACAGGTCAGTACATTAATCAGAAGCGGAATGATCCGCTGTATTGTGCCTCTGGAAACTAAACCAACAGCATTGCACTTTTATTAATGCAAAGTTGCATTTCACCTTCAGACAATCTCTGAGACGTACACACATTAGGAGCTGGAGTAGCCCATTTGACCTGTCAAGCTTTTTTTTTCATAGAATCCCTACAGTGTGGAAACAGGCCATTCGGCCCAACAAGTCCACACTGCCTCTCTGAAGAGCATCCCACCCAGACCCACTCCCCTAATTTCCTCTGTCTAACCCACACATCCCTGGGTACTGTGGGCAATTTAGCATGGCCAATCCACCTAACTCTGCACATCTTTGGACTGTGGGAGGAAACCCACGCAGACACGGGGAGAATGTGCAAACTCCACACAGGCAGTCACCTGAGGCTGGAATCGAACCCAGGTCCCAGGTACTGTGAGCCAGCAGTGCTAACCAATGAGCCACTGTGCCACTTGCTTTAACATTCGGTAAGATCACAGCTGGAATGATTGTGGCCTCAACTCCATATTCCTGTCTAATTCAGTAAGGTTTCATCCACAAATGGATGTACAAATGTAAGTCTGCAGATGAAAACATCTAAATATAGTATTAACACCTTGGGATCCTAGACACAAAATGCAATTTCTATGATCAGTAATGTTTTTTTAAAAAAGATCTTTTTATTAAAAAAGGAACATTTTATTTTGAAGTGGAAGTGGAAGTACTAAACTTGCTCGGGATCTCCTGAAAAGAAAATGTCAAATGGGATCTGTAAGAAAGAAAAAAAGTTACAGTATGTAATTTTAGAAGTACAGGTAGGGAAAATTAAAACATGCAGCAGCAGAAGTAGAACATTAAGAAAGCAAATATGAAGTGGCTCACAAATGTGTGCCAATGCATGATAACCTTTCGAAATAGGTCCTGCAATAACCTAAACTGCATTGAGCAACTGCAGGTAAATACACAGAAGCAGTTCAATTTGGTTTACTGTTTGAAGTTATGTTGTAATGTAAAACCCGCGTGGAAGGACTTTGTATGGCAAGCTGGTAACCAATGCATTTTATTTTCTGTTAGGACAATTCTGGCACATCACCGACTTGCATTTGGATCCGACCTATCACTTGACAGATGATCCTACCAAAGTTTGCTTTTCATCAATGGGGCGTCCGGCAAAGCATGCAGGACCTTATGGAGACTATTTGTGTGATTCACCATATGAACTTATCCAGTCTGCTTTTAAGTTTATGAAAGATGCTAAAGTTCAACCTTCTTTTGTGATATGGACTGGGTAAATATGACATAAGGTCAAACTGAACTAGATGAGTCTTAATGCCAAACACTAGTAGAGTGTACAATGCCTGTCATTTATAATTTATAAATATGATAATGAAACATAATAATAAAACAAGAAAGACAGATGCTGGAGATCTGACGCACAGAAAATAGAAATAGCTGGAGAAACTCAGCAGGTCTGGCAGCATCCGTGCAGTGAGAAACAGAGTTAATGTTTTACATCCAATGACCTTTCTTCGGGACACTGCTTTAAAGAAGGGTCATTGAACCCGAAACATTAACTATGTTTTCTTTCCACAGATGCTGCCAGACCTGCTGAGTTTGTCCAGCTATTTCTGTTCAGTGTATTTCAAAAATGGTATCTGTTTCAGTACTGAGGGAATGCTATACAATCAGAAATGTCAGCTTTTGGCTGAGATGTTGGCTGAAGCCCTGAGTGTATTCCCAATTGGACATCAGATGGTTCCAAGAAATATTTTAAGAAGAATAGTGGAGTTCTTACCATATTCTCAACAACATCTTAGTCTCTTAGCCAATGCTACCTAAAAAGCTTAGTTAACTAGTTGTAGAGCTGGATGAATACAGCAGGCCAAGCAGCATCAGAGGAGCAGGAAAGCTGACGTTTTGGGCCTAGACCCTTCTA